ACATGGCTACTATCTTTGCCTCCTTAGCACAATCAACACATTTTTACATTTTCCACTGCTCCTGTTTGCTTGCTGGTGTAAATGGTGGGTGAGGGCCACAGCTCCCAAACCTCAGGCGTCTCATCTCACATGATGTTTCATCTCAGAATACTTGTTGAATGATGAATGTGCACCAGACGAGTACGGTCTCACTGTCTCAGAGAATGAGGTTCTCAGCACTGTTGTGGCCACCATCACACCCGGGTGTGTGATTGCAATCACCATCTCTATATTCCTATGAATAAAAGTGTGGGTGCTCAGTCGTGTCTGACTCTTTGCAACCCCATGAACTGTAGCCTGCCGGGTTCCTTCTGTCCATGGGATTTTCCAGGGAGTGGGTTGCCATGCCCTCTTTCAGGGGATCTTCCTGACCCATGGTTCAAACCCACGTCTTTTGTGTCTCCTGCACCAGCAGGCACATTCTTTACTGCTGCCTTGTCCGGGGAGCCTCCTGTGAATACAGGAGCATATTACACTCCCCCCCTTTCTGAAGTGGGCCTCAGAGTCAAGAAGCAGCTCATGGGGACAGTATGGGAACCAGGACTTGGACCCCATCCAGGCTGATTCTGAAACTCATGCTTGTAGCCAGAATGTCTCCGTGCCTCCCTGGCTTTACAGGAGAATGGAGATGATTTTCAAAGCTGATTAAAAAAAAAAATCCTGAAAATGTATTTTACAGAGAAATGCATCTTAGTTCACTGTAGTTATTTTGCATTTTCTTATTCACCTTTTATATGCTAGTATATAGATCACAAAGCAGAACTCTTTGATTCCCAGAGATGAAGACCACCCAGTCTACCCTAGGCCAAGGGGCAACAAATGAATCTACTGTAGAATATTCTCATTTATTAGAAGACAGTCCTGGTCATCAGGTCATGCCTGCTGCAGGGTGACTGACTCTCTCCTGCCTCCAATCTGCTTTGGGCAGGATCAACAGGGCTGGAGGGTGCCCCCAACAGGCGACTGGGACAGTTTCGACCACTCGGTCCTGGCTTTGGCTTTTGCTTCCTTAGCCAGTGTTTTTTTTGTTATTGTTGTTGTTGTTGCATGAAACACTAATGGAGAAACATTAAACACTTAATGTAATGTGTATCCTAGAAGTTTCCCCAAGGGTGAAGGCCTCCCCCCAAAGTCCAAGTCTCTTTCGGTAGAAACAGAAAAACCTGAACCCATGTGGAAAGAGGGAAAAGCAGGTACACGGTCCTGCAGAATCAGGGGCCGCAGACTTGGGCGGGGGCCAGAGGACCGCAGAGGCCTGCGTGCATGTTGAACCAGGCGCCTGCTGCAGTCTGTCCTGGGCTCTGAGCTGATGTCTCTACCTAATGGGCTCTGAGCTTCCTGGCAGGCATGGGGAAATGGAAGCACTTCCCATTTCAGCATTTCCACTTATGGGAACTGTAATTTCACTTGTGTATATATTACAAATCATCACATTTTCGAATATATTGAGGCAAATGGCTAATATAATTTTCATACTCTGACACCAGTTCTTTCAGAGGGACAAATGTTTTCCTGGTACTCGATTCATAGAAGAAATGTGTGTGTGTTTTAAAGATAGTCTTTAAAGTTTTAAAGATAGAAGTTTTAAAAATAGTCTTTTTATAACTTTTCAAAATTTTCAACTTTAAAGAAATACACATCTACTGTAATTACACTATGTAAGTTAAAACTATTAACTTTTTTTTACATTTTCCTACATTATTCTACATGTTCATATATAAAATTAAGATAACAAAATACATATCACTGTAATCTGATTTTGGCACTTGCCAATAATTGCATGTATGTCTTTCCATGATATAAATACACAGAGATAAACAAAATAATACACAGATAACAAAACACACAGATAATAAACTCCATAGTCTTTTAATACATGTATTTTTATGTATTCATGGACAGCAGTTTACTAAATCTTCTCCTGATGAGCATTAAGTTGTTGCTAACTTCTGTTATGAAATGTTGTACCTTCAATCTCTTTGTAAAATATATTTGCTCACTGGTTAAATTATTTGCTTGACAAAATCCTAAGAATGAAATTGCTAAGTCTTAACTTGTATCACCTGGAAAAACTCTTGAGACACTTTTCCAAATGGAAAGGGTTAGTAAGGTCAAGACCAACTAGTGGAAGTTAAAGATACAGACCTCTTCCCATGAGCACTGACCATGGGTAAAAAAAGAAATACCACCCTATTTTTCTAATATTCCAGAGGTATAAATATTTATTGGTCATTGAGGTTTTTAATGTATTTGTTAATATCCTTTGCCTTATTTCTATTGGTATAGTTTTTTTGTCATTGGCTCTTTTTATAAGGATATGAATCTTCTATTTGATATACTTTCCCAACAGTCTTGTCTGTAAAAAAGAATTGGTGGTATTTTTGATGTTAAAAGTAGTTATTTTTTTTTTCATTATTTCTGGCTTCAATGGTCTCTTTGGAAAAATTTTCCACTATCCACATTATAAACCAATTCTCCTGAATTTTGAGGTCACCTGACTGAGGCTGTAAATTATCCATTTAAAGCTGTATTGTAAGAGCGGTTCTCTTGCCCTTATGGCTGAGACCTGGATCTTCCTTTCTGTTTTCTTTCCAAACACTTGTCTCTGTACTGGAGGGTGCGTAATTTCTTTGGTTCTGTCTTGTTGCAACAGAAATGGCGGACCAGTTATGCTCGGTTACAGCTCAGCGTTTTATTAGCAAAGGCTAGTACACCCCCGAGGCATGAGTTCAGGCCGACCCCAAAGGCGAGGCCTCCGCCTTCTCGGCTCCTTCTTTTTAAACATTTTGTCCCCTCCCCGCTGAGCCTGCCCTGTGTAGATTAGCGCTAGCCAGGAAGGGGGCGTGTTTTCCACCTGAGATTCTCACCCTGGTCCGTGGATTTTTCCTCTGTTCCCTTTTCACAGGCTTTCCCCTTCCTTTGCCTTTTAGCTACCACCATTTTGGACTCCTTTTTCCTATTCTAGGGCTTCCCTTGTGGCTCAGCTGGTAAAGAATCTGCCTGTAATGTGGGAGACCTGGGTTCCGTCCGTGGGTTGGGAAGATTCCCTGGAGAAGGGGATCTTCCCAGGAGCCTTTCCCTCCAGTATTCTAGCCTGGAGAATTCCATGGACTGTACAGTCCATGGGGTCTCAGAGTTGGACACGACTGAGCGACTTTCACCTCACACTTTCTATTTTAACTACCTAACAGTATCATCAATTGAAAAAAAGTCTGTCCTGGGCTCAGGTTTAAAACGATTTATCTGTCCACTTCTAGACCTTCTCTTCTGCTCACCCATGAGTGTCATATCTTCATAGTACTTGTGTAATATTTTTACAATATTATGTTGTAATATCCTTATTTGCTAGAATAAGCTCATTAGAATGCATTTTCTCTTCCAAGTGAGTTATTTAGTAATGTTTGACACTTTTTTCCACCTATGTTTTACAAAACCCGCATAGGTTGTGTGTGTGTGTGTGTGTGTGTGTGTGTGTGTGTGTGTGTGAGATCCCTGGGGATAAATAAAAGCTGAGGCAGGAACTGTTAGAAAGACCGCGTTTGGGGACAGGAGCCGAGGCCTCCTGGGGAGAGGCTGCCCTGAGGAGGAACAGGGATGTTGGCTCCCAGCCCGTCGGAATAAACCAAGACCCAGTTCAGAAGTTGATGAGCAGATGGAAATCCCTGCAGCTCTCTCCCTTGATTTTTATGATTTTCAGTTGAACTGCTGACCATGGAAACCCAGGTCACAGGACTTACACTCAGAGGTTCTAGTAGCCAGTCAGGCCAGAGCTCTGGATCTGTGGTGAGCATGGTTTGTGTCTGACCTTTACGCGTGAGAAGTCTGAGCTAGTTACGGTGAAAATGAAGAGCTGCCACCTCACCTCTCCTGGAGGTGGTCCCGGGACTGCAGGCAAGGCCACTATCCTTCTAGGAGCAGCTCTGGAGGGGCTCAGTCCTTGCAAGGGTGTCCGGGGGTCGGCGGCACGGAGGGTGCAAACAGTTACCTAAGGCTGTGGGGCGTCAGGACCGGGTGCTGCTGGCGCCCCGCTACAGAAAGGCCCAGGATGATAAACAAGGCCTTGGACCTGGAGCAGCTATGCCTCCTGACAAAGTGGCCTGCCAGGGATGTTTACCGCAAAATGTAACCTCCGGTCCCTGCATTCATCTGTTCCCTGGACAGGGCTCATCATTCCCATCTGTGTTTGGGTGAGAACCTTCCAAGAGATGAAGATTTTTGTTTTGGTCAGATTTTTTGACAGAATTGCTCTTTTCTGAAAATAATTAAGGCTGTGAGATTGGGTTCAGGTGAAGCCATTACTTTTCTGTGAAGGCCGATCAGCTCCATAGCGCAGAAGGAGGGTGGACAGCAGCCTTTCTGTGTATCCTGGCAGAAGGCAGCAGCCAGGAAGAGCAGCAGTCAGCACCCAAGTCTGTGTAGGTATCAGCTGAGGCAACACATGATCCTCAAGCAAACACATCTGATTTTGCCCTTCTGAGGGGAAAGCAAGGCCAAACTACCTCCAAAGTAAGGATGTAGAGTTTGCTTGGAGTTCTGTGGGATTCCTATCTCATTCTGAATCTCTTGGGAGAAGAGGCATTCTGTCTCTGGGGTGTTTTTGGTTTTTTTTTAGTAAGTCAGGGAAGGTTATTTGATCTGTAGTGAAAAGGAACAGCAAAGGTTTCTAAATTCAGAAAGGTGGGTTCTAGTTCTAACTCCACTATGAGTTGTGCGACCTTTGATTAATATTTTCCTTCTCCTAGTCTCAGCCTGCTTATTCATAAAATAGTAAAATATTTGCAAAATGCCCACTGCAGGGTTGCAAGGGCAAACAAGCTCAGGTTGATGAAAGCTCATGGCATCCATAGCCGCGTGGATACAAATACAGCCTCGTGTGAGAGAAAGGAGGGGTCTCACACAGTCTGCTTCCACGCCCACGTGGTTCTGGAGCTGGAGCTCCGCGTGGTCAAGGCCCAGTCAGACACAGTGAGAACGTGCCTTTATTTGGCTTCTGTTGCCCCCCCATCACACCAAACCCAGCGCCTCTCCCAGGCTCGGGGGTCACCCAGGGCTTGCCCCTTTCAGTAGCTCATAGTTTCCTTATCCTTCTTATTGAAGGGATTGTAGGGCATCACCGTTGTGACCATTCGGGAGAGCGGCCCCTGGTGACGGAAGAGGTCAACTGCCATTCCTTTCCCTAAGACACTAGCAAAATGGAGAGAAAAAAAGACATGTGAGATAAAATAAGAACACATAACCTCATATGTTCTCCAACTAATGATACGCAAATATGGGAGAGATGAAGAGAGAAAGAGATAGGAGTAGAGGGAGAGAGAAAAAGGACGCCCAGAACAGAGAGAGTGGGAATGGTTAATCCTTGTGAGTACTGTTCCCTGTATTTCATTTATTTGCCTTGAGTTCATTGACTGGAAATCTACCTTGTGCCTAGAATTACAGTCGGTGCCAAGAAGACAGGAAACACAGACAGAAGGAGGTGAAGTGCAGGCAGGCCACTGAGTCACCGACAGCTACCACACAAAGCTCAGGGTGTGAGGCTGACCAGAGATAGAGTCATCTTTCTAGACTGGAGAGGGAACCTTTCTGGTTTTGAGAAATGAATGGCTTCTCCACCCTCCACCAACAAAGGAGAAAAGGCACCCTTTTGGGGGACTGCCGTCCTTCCCCTCCCAGACGCACACTGACCTAACTAGAGAGGTTATACTTGCGTGAGGCCAGCCTCTGGATCTGGCTAAGGTGCATTTGCATTTTCAGAGCCGTGTCACCTTACTGGAAAGGCAGGACTTCCATCAAATGTTTTCAAAGTTGAGATATAATGAGCAATAACCCCTTGCTTCTCACTGGCAGCTTCAAAGCATGGAGTCTGCACTAACCTCCCATCAAATGCCTCCTGTTTTCAATTTGCAAAATGGTGTTTAAATATATATATATGGCTTTTAACAGAATGTTGTCTTTTATGAAAAGTAAGATAGCTATTCACAAGAAGTGAACGTGTGTCTCATGTAGTATGTTCCATGCATGTTCTAAGGATAATGCAGAAGGGTGATAAGTATGCAGAGTTGAGTCCAAAAGGCTAAGATGCTGTCCCCTAAGATACTTTCAATCTCTTAATGCATGCCTTCTAGCCACAACAGTGGGAAAATGAACTCTTCTGTCTTTCTGGACTTGACACCCTATTTTTTAAACAATGTGAATTTACTCCTAATACTTAATTGTTCTTTAATGGAATAATCATCATTAGAATTTCCCCCTCCCCAACATATCCAAGCACATTGAGTAATAGGATTCATACTTACTGGTGCACTTCTGAATCTGGTGAGGGGGTCGTTGATGGACGATCAGAATTTGCTGGATGGGTGGCTGTGAAATGAACCTTACCAGTGTATCCTGGAATATTTGCAGAGCTAAAGGAAAGAGTTAAAAGAGGGGAAGAAAAGAAATGAACACAACAATCTCTGAAAGAGTCACAGTCACCAGCACCCAATTATGAAAACATAAAGAAGGACACAATCTAAAGGTTTTGTCCCACATTAAGGTCTGGAAGTCGGACTGCCAGACAGGAAAGCATGCAGGCAGGGGGCAGAGATGAGTAGGTAACAGCCTTTGCCTCGGGCAGAAGAAACTTATTTCCAGCCCATGTTTCTCTGCCGTTTGAATTTGCATGTGTTTTACATACCTGATCCACCATGGAGCTCTGTTTCCTGATGAAGACGGACATGCTTCCTTACCAAAAAGCCAACCTGGCTCCCAACAGAGCTCTGTGGGGCCGACTCCAATGCTGGAGGACACCAAGCATGCCTCTTAAATAACACGTGTTTCTCTCCACCACTAGTGTACCGACCTCATAAAGTCTATGGAGTGTAGCTCGATTCCACACACTCCCCTGTGTTCCTGGTCCTTCTCCCTCCAGAGAGAGTGAAAGAAAAACACAGGAATGTATGGCAGGGTTTCCAATGTGGGGATGAAATTCCTCTTGATAAAGGCAAAAAAAATCCAAAACAAATATTCTAATGGGTAATTCAGAGCTGTGTGAATAATAACTACTGTTTTGACACTTTTACAGCATACAAAACCCTTTCCATGGATCACTTCCTAAGGAAGAGGTGAGGCCAGTCCAAGTGCTGCTCGAGACAGAGGACCTCATCCCCAGGTGCGAGGGAGGACGTGAGGTCGAGACGATACCTCAAAGAGCAGACACGTGCTCGCTGCAATCACAGGGCACTTCAAATGACACCCGTCTCTGCTAAGTGCAGCTCTCAGGGCCCTCCTGGTGCCACAGTGAGGAGGGGAAGGTCCGCTTGCCCCGGCCACTCCCTGGTCCCTCCTCTGGGAGCGTGGCATCCCTCGGCGAGGGCCCTCATTCTCCGTGGTTGCCCAGACACAAGGTAAGGAGCAGCGAGGACAGGGTCTGCTCCTCTGAGGGGCCCCTGGTTTGATCCCATCCCGTCCACACGTCCAGTAAGACAAGGAGACCTCCAAGCACCACTACCGGCAGGAGGAACTGTCAAACACTCAGTTTCAGAGAGGACACACATGCAGCCGCAGGTGACGGGCAGGCAGGGAATGCTGAGCGCTCAGGGGCCGGGCCTCAGACCTGGGCCTCTGACTCTGCTTGCTGACTCGCAGACCCGCACACAGGCTGAGCCCCTGGAAGCCATGCTGCATCAGCTAGGAGAAGGCTGACAGGACCACGCTCAAGGTTACAGTTGATAGGGAGGCCAGATCCTACTTGTGTCTGTGGGCAGGCAGGTCCTCTGCGATCCTTCTGGGCATGGCTTCTGTGATGGCATGAGCACACGAGGGGACAGGACTATAGAGGCCAGGGCCTGCACCAATGAACATTCTGTGTCTCTTCCAAGCACATCAGTCTGTGACTAGCTGGCTCTCAAGCAATAAAACAGAGGGCACCGATGCAGACAAAGGGAAGGGCAGCACATCAAGGGCCACAGCAGAATGAGTGGTGCAAGTTAATGGGTATGGTGAGGCTGGGAAATCAGGGAGCCAGGCCTGCCTCCACCCCTTCACCAGCTGTGAGATGAAGTGGGGAAAGCCCTGGGTGGCCTCCCAGGGCCCTTGGGATCAGAGCGATTCAGTGAAGGTAAAAGCAGCTGGCAAGTCTTTAGCACTTAGTAAGTGCTCAACTAATTTTAGTCAGATTACAAGATTTTAAAGAAATAAGAAATGTATGAAATAGCAGTCTGGCAGTGAAGAATGCAGTTGATCCAGGACAGGCAGCTGGAGAGAGGTAAGACAGTGGTTTCCCAACACTGCAGGGCCTGACAACTTGGGGATTTTTCAAAGGTACCAACGCCTGACTCCCACCCACCAGACATGCTAATTTAATCGGTAAGTGCTGTGAGCTGGAAATTGTTCTTTCTTTTGTAATCTCTCCAGATAACTCTCATGTGCAGTCAAGTTTGGAAGTCTCTGTTTCAGGTTTCAGGTTTGTTGGAGGGACCTGGGTGAGTGAACTACCGCTGCCAAATTCTAGGCAGGACCCTTCAGGATTTCTTGGAATCTTCTCCTATAATTGCAGCTGTATGTCAGAGTGGGAACAAAAAGTGGGGCAAAGTCATTCATGTGTTATATCTCTCCCCGAATTCATCAAAGGTTCCATGCATGTTATGAAGGAAACCCCCTTCCTTTGTGTGAGAGTTTTTTTCCACTGCCTCTAAAACACCTGCAGGATGAAGATGCCTCTAAGGTCACAGCCTTCCATCAGAGCACTAAGAAGTCAAAGATGGAAGCTCAAGAAGGGCTGGATCTAAAACACCATCCAACTATTTGTGATTTACCTGTGGCATACAGGTTATTGATGTTAAATGGTATTCTATGTCATGTTATAATAATGATATTATATTACATCATATCTAAAAATAACAAACATGAACTAGAGGACTGAATTAATGATAAGATGCTTGGGCTTGAGAAATGAATGCAGTTGCATAATAAACTGCCACATATTTGAAAATGAAAGTCCTCACCCACACTGCTTCTAGAATCTATTCCATTTAACCCTTTTTCAGGGACAACAAAGGGGAACTTTTTTCCATCTTAAGTGCAACAAGATTAGAGGAGATCAGATTCTGGGGGACGCTCTATAGACCTGTGGCTGATGGGTGATAAGGTTTTTCAGATGAAAGACACTGAAAAGTACAGGCTCTGAGAGAATTCCCAAGTCAGCTGTATGATCAGACCCATCCTCTCATTTAAGGAAAGCTAAGGGAAGCAGGAACCCATTTAAAAATAAGTGGTCTTCATGTTTGTCTTTGCTCCATAGTTGCTAGTCTTCTGAACACCTTCTTTGGCACCAGATTCCCAAAATAAGCTTAGGGTTGGTCCACTATGGGTAACTGAATAAGTTACTGCCTAAGTTTATAACTAATTGGTTTTGCTCAACAAAGCATAATAAAATAGAAATTAAATAACTTGAGAAATATAAGGAAGTTTAGTAAATCAGTTAGAAAAAAAGGGGCCGGGATGGCATATAATTAAAAGACAAATAGAAAAATAGAGGAAACATGGAGAAAACCATGTTATATGTAGGTTACAAGTCATGCATACATGGATTAGAAACCATTTTATATGTAGGTTATAAGTCATGCATACATGGGTGAGAATTCCGGCATGAACATGCTCTCCGTCTGTGCCACAGACCCCACTAATCCTCAGGAGCCCATACCCTTTGTGACACTTACATGGGCTGTTTATTTAATCTCACAGCACTCCATGTCCTTGGTCCTGGGACCATGCCATGGGATAGATGTGGGCACTGAGGCCTGAGAACAAGTCTAAGCCACGTGCCCAGAGACAACAGAGCTGGCAGGGGACGGAACTGAGTGGCCCCAGAAGGCCCTGAAACCCAGGCTTCCAGCTGAGCACCATCTATTCTGGGCTAAGTGTAGTGCAAGTTCAAGTTACCTGGACCCTTGTTTATCGAGAGCTATTCTATGTCAGGTACAGATCCAGCAGAACTCAAACAGGCTAGGCTCCTGATCGCTTTCACATGAAGGAGGAAATTTTGTAAATGTACAACTAGAGGTTTACAGAACCCAAGTGGGCAAAGACGGCTGATGCAAACTAGGAGCAGGGGCATCAGAGAGGGATACAGCCAGATGCTGTGCTGAGTGTGTTGGGGCTGGCATCTGCCTCCAGGGTGGCACCCCGCCCTGTGACCCTGGACACAGGATGGGGGGCTTTCTGGACCACCTCTGCCCAAGTCGGGGTGGGGAAATTCACAGTTCCCTTACAGGGAGTGTGGGGCCAGGGTACCTGGGCAAAGTGTTGGCCTAGTGCAAGAGCAGGGGGAGGAGGAGGCAGGCTGGGAAGGTAGGGGAAAGGGGAGGGAAGGCTGAGGGAGCAGCTGAGAAGTCCAAATAGCACCAGAGTGGTTCTGGTCACTGGGTTGTGCGTCCATGAATATAATGAGATACTGTGGCCCCAGGATGTGCTCAGGAATTAGCTTCACTCTTATCATCATCATGCTCTACAGGAAATAATTTTCTCCCTCTGTTCTCAGGGAACCTTTACCTCTTCCATCCAAAGGGGGACACAGAAATGAGCCAACAGCCCCGACCAGAGCAGGGCTGAGGCCCCAGGAAGCAGTCACTGGCTGGAGGTGGCCCAGGGGAGTGGGAGCCCTGTTCTCTTAACTGCTCACAAAATGAGTGTCTGGGGCTCTTGAATCATTTGCTCTGCCTCAGCCTCCTCATCTGTGAAGTGGGGAGAGAGCCTGCCCCCCCCTCCACCTTTGGCCTCATCACACTACTTTGAAAAACAAATGAGAGAGTCGATGTGAAAGTTCTCTGAAAAGGCAGAAGTGTGGGCTAATGTAAGGAACTGCTATTCATAGCCTGGCTTGAAGCTGGGCTGTGGTTAAGATTTTGTTAAAGGTGCAGCACACCCAGGAGGGCAGGGCGGTCCCCTCTTCCGGCTCAGGACTCGGCCCAGGGCCGCCTTGGGATCACTTTGGACAATTACTTGCTATTTGCAAATGTTTCATCAGAGAGATGACTGGGGTAAAGGCACAGTGAGTGTGACACTGGGTGAAGCCCTGAAATAAGAGACTAAGACTTAGTGGAAGACAGCATGGTGGAAGCAGCAAGCTGGTTTGGGAAACGGTGGTCTGGAAAGCACCGGGTGTGGTGGGGTTGGGTGTGGGTCAGAGGGCACGGGCTCTGCTCTGTCACCTGCCTGGGTCCCTCTCCTGTCCTCATGGGTAAGACAAGGGAGGGCTGTGCCAGCTGACGCACGGACGTGACAGCCCGTGCAGTCCCTCCTCAGAAGAAAACCGCATTCCCTTTTCTTAGGAAAGGGCAAGGTTCCATGCTTTGGGGTCCTGACTCACACAGATCTGCTGTTTTGAAACCATGTGGAACCACAAGATAGGTACTAACAGAAAAAA